ATACGGAATAAATTCAATGGTAAGCTTTTTGAACAAGTGGCATATGATTAATCCCTGATTTGCCTATGGCAAAAGAAAAGTGGGCAGAACAGAAAGGCTCCCATTTGTCTGAATCTTTGTGCAAATCTTTGAGTTTCCTCCTTCTCTACTCATCCAATTGCCACGGTATGAAGCCAGAGAAAGCCAGCGGGATTTGCCAGCAAAATGATTAAGCATTTCTCCTCCTGGAGGGGATAGTAACTGCACTACCACAAACTCAACTTCATACAGGCAGGAGGAGGAAATGAACCCCAAAGATACCATTTATGTGTTAATCTCTACAAGACGAGCTTTTTAAACTTTCCGTAACTATATTCAAGTTTCCAGTTTGCGGCATTAGTTCCAGGATGCCAGCTTTTGAAGTCTATTATTGCTTTACTCATCAATTTAATTGAAAATAAAAAAAAAAAAAAATAGCCTCGGGCTGCTGGTTGCAAACTATACTGAGTCTAGCCAAGGTATTGGGCTCCGAAGCATGAGCTAAGGATAGTTCTTCTACAATAACCCAGACTCAATGCTCAGGAATAAGGGAACATTTTCTTCATCATGCTTTCAAAACACTCGTTCACAAAAACTCAAATTTTCAGCATATAAACCTCTGAAGCTATAAAATCAGTACAACACATGTTTCCACAAATACAGTCAATCAAACAGAAAGAGCATGTTTCTCTAATTTTAAATTTTTTTTAAAGTCAAACTCATAAATGATTGTCCGAAAGACATTTTGGAGGTTACTACATTTCAATTTTTTCAAAAGTTAAGAAAGTGATTTGCATATTTAAATAAGCCTTGTGTGCACGATTAGCTCAGTAATAGATGAGTGGACAGGGTGACAGATGGTTTGGTGTCTATTGTCGTCCCCCAAGGCCCTTTAGGGAACAGTGCACGCCAGACATAATAAACAAATGTCCATTCTCCTCAAATGCATTGGTACCGGGAGACGTGGGTGGCAACAGCTCCTCTTAAACTCAAACTAGGGGACAATTAAGCAAATGTTCTTGAGGATTTAGAGACACTAACTAATTATATGATGACATTTTAATAAGTTCAAGAACCAGGGAACAAGTGGCTGGTGAGAAAACTGCAATTGGCTCATTATCGATGCAATTAGATTTGATCCTTCATAAAAGATACTCAGGAACAACTTAAAAGGCTTGAGGTCAACAACTTGACAACTAAGTCCAATGGGGGGAAAATGTTATGGTACTCATCAGCAGCCAATATTGATAAGCTAGTGATTTTGTTCATTGAAAAAATACAAGAGCCGGCCAAGTAGCTCAGCGGATTAGGGCACCTGCTTAGGCGGACGCAGCGGCTGGGTTCGCTCCCCAGCATGCTGTGCCGACCCCACCCCAGGAACACGCTAAGACTGCAATTGAGACTAGGCATGGTGGTGTGTGCCGGTAATCCCAGCTCTTTGGGAGGCTGAGCACAGGTAGATCACTACGAGTCTGATTTACATAGTGAGACCCTGTAGACCCTGTAGACCCTTACTAAAATAAGTAAATGAATAAATAAACAACAGTTCAGAGCGTAGTTCTGAGAAAGACCTCGGCTTTGTTTCCCCACATTGGAAATAACTGGGTAATGGCTATCCTTCGGTTGATCTAATGATACAGTGCTGCTCAGTGACAGCTTCGGTATACGGCCAGTCCTCCTCCACTTATTGGATGCAGTCTGAGCAAAACTGACAGGAGAACTGGCCCAGAGTGAATAAGATACAGCAACCTCAGTTTCCACAGCTCTACACTGAGAAGCGGTTGAGTTTGTCCCAGCCAATCACGGAACCCGTTCTATAGGAAAAGGATTGGGGAGAACCAGGGAGTGCAGAGACAGGCAGGGAATCCTACCTCACACCAATTTTTTGGGACAACAACGCTGTTTTGAAGAAAGACAGCGATATATGGCCCCCGAGGTGGCCAAGGCAGATCTGT